ATATATATATATATATATGTAGCTTAGCATATAATGCACAAATACCGGAGTTATGCGTGATCAGGCAGGCCTCACGCTTCCTGCTCCCCATCCTCAGAACTCCCAGACGGGCACAAACCACCCTCAAAGAAGAAGAGCGATACTATCTATGAAGTCAGCGAGTGGCCGTCCTGAGTTGCTGAAGCGTCCGTTGCCTCAACTCTTGAGAGCCCTGGACTCGTTGCGTCGTTCTACACCCATCCCGCAATGCACCAGGCCAAAACCATCCGCGTGGTTGCGACCCGCAACGAGGAGACCAAGCAACGCCAGCAGCTGGAGAAAGAGGCAAAACTTATAGACCCTAATGTTTATTACATCTGCTTGGGTTTCGCATTGAGTTACATGTCACTCCTGCAGGTGGAAGCCTTACGGCAACGGTCGCTCGATGAGGTGCGGCTAAGCAGCGCCCTTGCCAGGACACTTCCCATCGAGGAATCCTTCTTGCCTCTCATGCTGTGTCTGCTTCTACGGTGATTCTACAGCATGCAGTTGAAGGGTTTCCAGGCAGGGCCAGTGGACGAGTTGGAAGAGAAGCATCGCGCCGAGATCGAGGCGCGGGTTTTTGTCAGAATCTCTGTGCGACGGCCAGAGGCAGCCGTGTGGAAGGCACAGGGGTTTGGGCAAAGCCGCAACTGTGTACAGTCGTCAATCAAACATGAGCCTATCGGTCAATCACTCAAGCCGAAGGGTCATCTTTAGCAGGTCAAAACAGGTGATGTTCGCGGTTCTGTCTGAAGTGGCCCGTCCTCGCTTCATCCATCGCCTTTGTGCAGGCTCTTGAAGCCTTCATGCGGCAGACTTGGGAGGACGGCGCAGTACTGTGCAATGTGGAACATCATAATGTAGCCTTGTTTGGTGGTGTGGAGGACAAGCAGCGTCTCTCCAAAGAGCACGAAGAGCAGAGGGAGCGGGCTCGGCTCGAGGCCCCGGCTACAGCCAGCGGCTTTCCATCCGAAGACCGGCTTTCTGCTCACCAGGTCCAGAAGGCCCTGGAACAACGACGCGGCGAACTGCGCCGCAGGCATGTGCACTTGTGCTTAAGGCGGATGTACTATGATATGTCAGAATTCCTTCAGCTGCTTGCCAAGAACTACTTCGAATCCTGGGCCCCTGCAAGGCTCGAAGCCTTGGAGAAGCTTCAGGACATCTCGGTGACTTTGCAGTTCCGACCTCAGTTTCTCTCAGGGGCTTCAGCATGCCTTCACTTGCCCCGGACGGCTGCAGACCCAAGCTGAAAGGGTTTCATGGGCCCTATACTCGTATGAATTCTCCAAGACAGATACCTATAATTGGGCTTAGGGGCCGGAAAATCCGAGTCTCAGGTCCTTCGTGGCAGCGGGGACGGCCTCAGAGCTTTGCCCCGGCTGGCCGGATCGACTTGCGCGGAGCCGAGGACCCCTAAGGCCTAAGCCACCAGCCTGGCAGCTTCATGGAGAATCCCTGGTGCATCTAACACCGAACATCACCACAGGTCTCTACCTTGCGGTCTGCGACACTCCAGTCCCAGCTCCGATCTGCACGGGACCCGGTGTGAAACCACTGAGTCCTTCTTGAGAAGCACTTCCCAGATGTGTTCAGACGGCAAAGATGGACGACAGGCAGGCTTGTTTCGGCTGCGCACGAGGCCCGACTCTACCAAGAAGGGGTGGTGGCCGACTTCCGTCAACTCCTCGCGCGGGTCGCACCGCCACTTTCCACACGAACGGATTTACTTCGTTGTTGGCCAGCATTGATCAGTAAAGCACTGGCATGACAGGAAGCCGACGATGCAACAGCAGCTCTTCTACTCAGCCAGGACCGCTATCATCACTAGGCTCTGCAGTGCTGTCAGTGGAGAGGGGCGACCGAGTGTGGCAGGCGGATGCTAAGCTTCAGATCCTCGTCTGGTCCCTGGTTCTCGCACAGCTCTGGGTGTGGGTGTTCTGATGCTCCAGCCCGGACACGAACCGGTGGCCACCTCTCCGCCGAGGCCAAGGAACTTCAGGTCCAGGCCCGAGAGCCGCAGAGGGGTTGAAGCATTTGAGAAGGCCGCTCGCGCCCTTTGCAGCGGAAACCCGGAACTGAGTTTTGACTTTCGTAGCACATGAGATGCAGTATTTGAAGGGATGTTTCGGCCCATGAGTGTGAGCATTGGAACCACACTGTCTGCTTTCTCCCTGCTGATTGTCGAAGGCTCAGCCCGATTAGTTGGCGTGCGACATGTGGGTCATGCGCCGGCGGGCATGTGGAATCCTTGCAGAGGGCTTCAGCAATATTTCGTCCACCCATCAGTCCTTGGCACACGAATCTGTGTCAGACCTGTGGTGGTCACTGCTAGGTCCTGCCGGAGACCCTTTTCTGCCAAGGCATTGCAGGCCGCGGAAGCAGACTTCAAAGGTCAGATGTGTGCCTCCCTTAGAAGGCACTTGCTTAAGGGCGAGCAAAAGCATTCCTTCCTGGTTCTATTCATGACAGGCCCCAAAAGATATTGTAATCCGACAGCGAATAAGACAAAGATCGCAATCCTTGAACATGGTTTGTGACTGACACTCTGGGACTACGGCTGACTGCGGAATGTCACAGACAACCTCATGAGCCAGTGGAACTTAGGCACTGTCAGTGCGGAGATTGCCATCAATCTGCGTGAGGCCGGAGGCTACTTCGCATTTCGAATTGTCCATACAGTGGCCCAGGATTTTGGAGCTAAGAAGCTGCGCATACCTTCTCTGGACAATACAGCCTTCTGTTCGTTGAAAGGCACGAGACACTCGCCTCTCCGATGACGGTGAGGCCATGTCGCTGCAACGTGATGTTGCAGGTCCTTGCAAGATCTTACATGCTCATTTGGGGATGACGAGCGACATGAAGCGATGCGGCGATGCGGGACTCGATCTGTCGACTTCCGACAGGTGCAAGTCACTGCTGAGGAGCATTTGGCTCTCCTAGAACTGGCGAGGGTCTTGGCGAACTGCACTGTCCCGGTGTCTTGAAGAGCTTCCACGGGCTGTGCGCTGGTTTGTGCATGCTCGCTCCAGGTGCAACAGCAGCTACTTCAACACTACAGGAGTTTCTCCGAGGACTTCCTGAAAGAGGTCTGGATCCCTTCGCCCACAAGCACAAGCTGCAAAGCATGCCATGGAATTTGAAGCTGAGTGCGCCATCTTGAGCTGTGGATGGTGTGCCTCTAATATTCCGTGAGTGATACTTTATGCCTTGCAGGTGGCATCCCTGAGCATGGCAAAGGACCTGTCTCTGGTGAACGTCCGCTGGGCACTCGAAGGAACTCGAGGAAAGTGCTGTTGCTTGTGAGCATACTCGTGTCAGTTTGCCAGGTAGGTATGCATGTGTATGTGTATGCGTATGTGTATGTGTGTATGTATATATATGTATGTATGTATGTATGTATGTATGTATGTATGTATGTATGTATGTATGTATGTATGTATGTGTATGTGTATGTGTATGTGCATGTGCTTGTGCTTGTGCATGTGCATGTGCATGTGTATGTGTAAGTAAGTATGTATGTATGTATGTATGTATGTATGTATGTATGTATGTATCTATGTATCTATGTATCTATGTATATGTATGTATATATATATATACATATGTGACATGTGTGTGTGTGTGCTGACATGCTGTTCTGCACCAGTACTTTAAGATTTTACATAATTACTAGAGGAAGGTGGGGACTGCCTTCTTTGCAAAGTGTGGGTGCTCGCTTCAGTGTAGTGTAACCTGATTGCGAGTGTCGACATGCCTTGCAGCCGACTTGACACCTGCCATGCAGAGCCTCTGACGATGCTAAGCGGGAGCCAAAAATATCATGTGGCAGATTGAAGCCTCACGTGACAAGGAGCACAAGATGTGCAGGTGTGGGATCGTAAGAACCCTGAAAGTTGGAGTGTAAAGACTGTACAAGCGTGATCCAAGGTTGCGGTGCCACAGATCCCGTCCAGGAAGTGGAGGTGAACGCACGGTTGTGGCCAGACAATCTCTGAGCTCCTTATAAGCACGTGAGTAGAAGGAATCCAGCCATCTTGCATGGCCTGTTTTGCAGGGCGACCGCTTTGCAAGAGTAATCCTGTACGAAGAGCATCAGTGTCTCTATGAAGAGGAGGTAGCAACCGGAGCTGAACATGCACGCCACAGGGCTGTGGGGCTGACATCTTGCCAGAGCCACTAGGGCTGGCCGCGCCCCAGGCTCAGATTTGGTCAAACGTTCAGTCTTCATTTCCAATGCGAAGCCCGCATGCGGTAGCAAAATTCTGTTTCAGGTGTGACATCGAGGACCACAGCCTACGTGCTTCATCGAACCCTCACTTCGCCAGCTGTGCCAGGCCTGCTGCACCACAGTGAAACACCCCTGGAACCTGATCTCCGAACATGGGATCATGCATGCCAGAGTGCAGAGACGTGATAACGATCAACATGTCGAGGCTGCATCGCAGCCTTTGCATGGGCGGCTGGAGCGCCTCAGAGGCCATAAAGGACGAATTCCTGGAGGCACGAACCATGCACGAAGGAAGCATCTCTGATTTACGAGCATTTGTGTCTTGCTACAAAAGCGCATAAGATCTCGACAGGTTGACCTTTCAGAAGACGGCTGCACCCAGCAGGCTCAGTTCTTCGGGTTTAGATCCCGGGCAGACAGTCCGACATTACGAAGAAGTAGACCGCAGGTCTTGGCCGGCGTGGCGTTGTCGAAGCCTTACAGTTATTCCTCCAGTACCATCGGGATCATGTTTGTGTATGTTTGTGGTGGGGCAAGAAGTTGCAAGGCAGGGAAGACTTCCTTGCAGCGGGCATTGGCAGCAGACCCACAGCCTGCTGAAGACGGCGCTGGGCGATCACGAGGCCGGACCTGGAGCTGCAGCCAAGCATGCCATGCAACCGCGCAGACCGCGTCCGTGCGTGAGGTCCTGCGACCGACCACGGAGCGCACCTTCCTCCGGCCGCCCGTACGCTGCGTCATCGAGGCAATCTGCCACGTCGGCCGGCGGCTATAGTAGCCAAGGAATCCCAGCTATTGCGCGTGTAGTTCAGGAAAGCTTCTGGAGCACTTCTGGGCGATTTACATGTTATGCTGCATGAGTTCGCCGACCTGCTTGCAAACCCGAGCACCTGCTGCGCTCCTTCTTACTTTTGCAGGCATTTAAGGAATTTAAGGTGCGTTGACAGTTGAGACGCCAGCAAGCCCATATAACCCTGCGACAGCACTGCATGGATGTGGATGGATTTGGAGACGGTGGAGCCAGGCTGAGGCGGTTGGTTTTCGAGGTGACTCCATGATCGCGGCCGCGAAGTAGGTGAATCGGTGGTTTTGACGGAGGATAAACATGTTGCCCCTAGCAGCACGCATCAGTAATTATTGTCCATCATGCATTTTGCGAAGAACACTTACATGGCCTTAGATGCTAAACTTGCACGGCGTTCAGTTCGCTGTTGCCATAGCGGCACTCGGTACTTCGTGTCATTACTTGTGGCTGGCCTTACGACCAAACCCAGGAGCACACCATGACTCACCGTTATTCTGTGAAAGTGGGGAAAGGTCTCCGATCTACTTCCTTTTTGCGCCCGGAGTTGCCCTGTCCAGTGTGCTGCTACTCCTAGCCGGATGCGAAGCTGCAAGCGAATATGAACTCGCCTGCAACCTTTGGAAGCTGGCGATGGCGCTGCGGATCTTTGCTACATGTGCGGCCGTCGGTTTGGCGGGCATGGGCTTGGTCACAAACCCCATGAGCCGCTCCTTCCATGATCTGGCGACCTATGCATTCGTGGGAGGCGCAGCCTTACTGCTACTGCTGGGTATAATTGCATCTACTTACCTGCAGGTGTATTCTCTGCACGAACAATCTGGTCTTGCTTTTTTGGCCGTTCGGATCGCGCTGCTGGCACATGCCTCGACAAAGGCCAGTGAGTTCTTGGGGAAGTATGGTCGAGCAATGGCTATGGTAAGCCAAGCTGACCATGGAGGTGATGCCGAAATGCCAACCGTCGATCGAAAGGTGATGAAGCGACTGCTGACACAAAGCGCTTTCGCTCAGTATTCAGCGCTTGCGTCGCTGTGCATTTCTGCCGCTCTCCTGCGCCCCTAAATCATGGATGGCCACCAGCCAAGAGCTTGCCGACCTTGGGAACGTCTGCACCAGACAGCATCGCAAAATGACAAAGTCGAGTTCGCCATCCCTGCATGATGCACAGTGGTGCTCGACATCCTGGCAACAGCCTAGCAACAGCTAGATTACACTCCGATGGTGCGCAAAAAGCTGTTCGAAGACTCAATTGCAGAGCCCTTCCTCGCTCAGGTTGGTTCGCTAGATTACGATGAAATGCTGCCAACTGCCGCTAGGTAGCCACGGCCTTGCAGAGCAGCGGATCAAAGGCGGCCTCGAAGGAGCGAGTGCACGGAGCAAGCATGATTGTTGCTACTTAGTGACTTCGTACTTTTGCCGTCTTGTATGAAAGCCTCATGTGATACAGTGCATGTTCCACCTGCGGTGATGTAACGTTGGCTATGAAGCAACAGCACCTTTCGCAGAAGGCGAGCAGTTGTTGGGCCTACTGACGAGTGACACCTCACTGATGCCCCGTTGCAGGAGGCCGTTGACTATGCAGCCATGACTAAGGAGGCAAAGACAGATTTTCTGACAAGGCTGGGCTGTCCCTGCCCTGACAGTACTCGATGTTGTTGCTGCACTGAACAGGCTCATCCAGGAAGCAGCACGCTTCTTCAAAGCTGCAGACTCAGCGCTTGGAAATTAAGTATCATGTCAAGGACTTGTATGGAGAGACTCGCAGCTTCGACTTGGGTTCGACTTGATTTGGCTACGCCCCATTACTCCTACAGCGCTCCACGCTTGCACCAAGCTGAAGGAGAGTTGCACAATCGAGTGATAGCTCTATTTGGCTCCCATATGCCGCAACATTTACTGGGTTGTCCGGAAACTGCATTCGCAGAGTCATAATTTCATAGTCATGTTTCCACTAGCTTGATAAAGTTGGATCAGGAGTTTGCAGTCGCCTTGGGTGCAGGATGTGATGGGTCCCGGAAACGCCGAACAAGCGGTGCAGGGTCTCTCCGACAGGGACAGCGAGGCCGACGGCCGGGGTCTTGCTTCCCCTCAGTGCTCGACCCAGGCCCCATGCTGCATTACGGACGTTTGACCGGATTGTCGCGATCTGTTTCAGCAATAGCAGGAAGAAGCGTCTTTTGCCTGCCAGACCCGTTGCCGTCAGGAGGAGGGCACGGAGCCTCTGAAGCTCACTGCCCAAGATGTTCTTTCTGGAAGGTGCCACCGCAAGTAACCACGTGGCACCCCATCCAGCACGCACTGTCTCTTGTAGCGCGCAAAGGGGCAGTTTGCACACATTAATGCCTGAAGCACCTTGAACTGCGACGCGGGTGGCAGGAATTGCGGGGAGACGAACCGCTTGCTGCAGATGCTGGCCTGGCGATGCCTCGGCCCGGGACCCAGGAAGAGAGTACAAGCCAAAGAGGCAGACAGTTTCTCGGAGCTTCTAGGCGTAAAGCCTGAGCAAGAGAGACAATCCGCGGGAACAACTGCCAGACGACTTCAAGAAATGTCACGGTTTGTAGGCTCCAAATTAGCTCCTATAGAGACTGAGCCTCAGCAATCATCTTGACAGAAGGAAAGGATGCAACCTGCCAGTGGACGCGCCAGTTTCGCCTTCAGCCCAGGGCTCGGAGGACAGAGGGCTGCATTCCCGCAGTGATGTCACCAAGCTACGGACTCTAAGGTATCAGGAACCCCAGAAAGGGTGGCTATGGTACGTTTGGGTCTCAGTTTGCCTAAGCCGAAGCCTTGTCAGAGAGTCGTGCGCAGCCCCGCTGACCTGGTGAGCAGCCTCCACAAGTCAGGGAGGAGCCGCTGAGAGGGGCAGCGCCCAGCGCCGATTCGATAATACGACCACCTTCAAAAGAGTTTACCGCCCTCATGTTTTGGACGCTTCTTTACAACGGCGCTATCTGCGTTATGCGAGAAGTGCAGAGTTTGATGCCTGGGAAGCTCGGACGGCTCAGGCCGGAGATGAGGGCGAGCACGTGTTTGAGGCCAATACGGATGCCCAAGCAGCCGAAAGCTCGGAAACGAAAACTTTGTCCTTGCATCCCTCGCCTCTTTAGCAGTTGCACCAAACATGGGGTCCAGAGCTGGCACAATCCACAGCTTGATGTCAGGGATTCCCTACACTACACACTGCTGAAGGCGCTCTTCGTGCAGCTGCCCGTGCCGGTTTCAGCCTGGAGCCTCAGTGTGAGCTGTTTGCACTACGGAATTCGGTGGGCCTTGCAGGAGCTTGTCTGAGAAAACCCGTCTGAGGCAAGCAAGCTGCGCATTTGCCCGTTAGCTTGGCCTTGGACTGAGGGTTCGGGTTTCTGCGGCTTGGAGCTTGAAGCAGCAATGGGGCTTTGGGTATAAGCCACCCTTCTAGGGCTCCGGATCACTGTCTGGCGGAAATGCACGACCGGGGCGGCGTAAGTTGAGACCGTCGTTTTGAAGATGTCAGCCGTGTCACATGTTAAAAATTGGTTATCTGAATCTTGACAATGTTGCAGATGTAGTTCAGAATTTCAGGAAGTTCTGCTCGTGCGAGGCACCGTCGACCAGCGTTGCGCATCGAAGTGTTTGCATGGGGCTTGGCTCAGTGCGGAGACGGAGACAAGAAACCGCTCACCGGGTGTCGCTGTGTCGCTCCCTGCGAGGTCCTGCCTTCCCTGGAATTCCGGCCACGAGCGCCTCAAATCTTCCAGTGCCTTCAAGCCCCAGCCCCACAGAGCACCACCAGTGTAACGTCCAGTGTAGTTCGGGAATGTGTGCGCTGCTCCAGGGATCAACTCGAGGATGCTTATCTTTGGGCTGCGCCTCTGACTTGAAATGCGTTGAGCAGCGAGGCCCAGATCCAGCTGGGAAAGCAGGCTCTCGGAAGATTCAAGCTGCGGGTGGAGGCTCGCTGGCGCTGACGGTGGTTTCAGGAGAATTGCTAGGATGTCGAGAAGCTGATGAAGAGAGGGACGGTATACTGCATACTAGATTGCATGGGCAGGCCAGCATGCGCTGGCTCCTGAGATGCTTTGCCGACTTGAAAATCTCTCACCTTCTAAATTAAAAGCTGCCTCGCTAGATCCGTGCTGAGGTGAGGACCAGCTTGCAAAAGAGCAGCAAGTGACCTTGCAGGATGCGAGGTATGTTGTGGGGTTGAAGAGGCCAGAGTACAGGGAAGCCGGGCTTTGGAGAGCCTCACCGACATGCTGCCGCCCCAATCGTGTGGCTCCAAGCATCTACAATCTACAGCACATCTCACACTGCAGGTACACGAGCATGGTGCCTTGCAGCGTCAGCTGGAGGAGGCCTTGGCACGGGCAGCGGGGCCTCCCAGCACAGGGTGCATCCGGTTCGCGAGGACTTTAAAATTGCCCCGCAGAGCCCAAGGCCTCTTCAGAGGCGCAGCTGCTTCGGCTAAAGGCAGACAATGAGCGTCCGTCGCCCAGTGAGAGAGAGTCCAGCCCGTGCAACACAAGCCCACAGAAGTGTTGAAGTTGCCAGGTGTTCCTAGTCGTACCCAGCCGGTGCGTAAACGCTTTCGCAATGCTGAATAATTGGAGTTGGATGCTCTGGGCATAACTGAGAAGGATAGTTGCCTGCGGCCTCATGAACTTCATTATAAAGGAAGGGGTGTGCTTGAACGGGTCAACTTCGAGTTCTATCAATGACCATTCCCCGTCGCAGCTCAATATCAAGATCTCTTGCACGACGGTTGCCGAGACTCCAAGGTTTGCAGCAGCAACTGGACATCCGCTCAGCAGAACTCTGCACTGCAGAGGCGCGCAGTCCCTGCAATCATATCGTGCGCTGCACAAAGCTCGTTTTGAGGGTGTTGGAAATGCGGAGTGGAGTGCAGGAGGCTCGCCGCAGTGCCGAACAACTGGGCAGGGGGCCAAGGACACTGCAAGTGGGAGCCTGTGCCACAAGCGACACGTTTCAGGGCCCACAAGCTTCGCGATGGCCTGATGATTTTTGTTCATGCTCTGGATGTGTCGAATACCTCGATCTCACGGATGGGGATCTACTGCCGGCTGCAGTAGCAGGAGTCTGCAAAAACCGCACAGTTGCACCACCCAGCTCGCCTCCAACACCCTTGCTACTACATCCCAGAGCTCTACATAGCAGTAGGGTGTTCTGCCCTTGTTGCTATAACCCACCACATCTACAAAGCAGCATGGACAAACACTGATACCTTTCCTTGCCCATATCGGGATCCCTTGCGAACTCCGCAAGACTTGCGAGCTAGCTGCGAGCATCCTTGTCAGCATTCTGTAGCTACTGGAATGCACTTTAGTTTCACGGGCCCTCTTCCGGAACCGCATGGAGCCCGCCCGTGCCACATCGAGCAGCCAGCCGGGTCGCATTGGAATTTCGCCTAGACAGATAGGGCTGTCGAGATTTTCAGAAGCACAATGGTTCACCGACAGCGGTTTGGTATAGGCGTTGGAGGCTTTGGAATTGGGTACTCCTTGCGAGGTCAAGGTGACTGCACTGGCTGCCAGCATCTTTGGTAGAACGAACGGCCAAAGGAACTCTCGCAGCTGGCATAAAGCCTCAAGGCCCAGTGGCAGCCTCTCCATCGTGCCTGAAAGAATTGTCCAAATCATGACAACGAAAAAGCCTTGGCCAGAAGTGAGATACTGTACTTCCTGCCAGTGCCAGTAGCACACAGACTTGTGGCTATATGGCTCAGCCTTCACATTTCGAAGTTCGGTTGATGGAGGGATGGATGGTTTTGAGTAAGCAGTCACAGGCGCGAGCGCCCGGACCAAGCTGCCTCCCATCCTATCTCCAGATGGTTCGCCGGCTTCTTCACAGCATTCTTCAGCATTGAGGGTCAATAGACCCTAGACTGTGAACCTGGCACGCGACGTTTGTGAGACGATGTTCGTGCCCTCACCAGATAATCCGGAGATGCATACTCCAGATTTCATGACATTACTCAGCACATGTCAACCCTGCTTCCCACATCGCTTGAAGCACTACCCCTGCAACTAGATGACCGCGGATCCTGCGAATCTGGACCAACCGGA